TTCAATCATTTTTTTATCCTTAAAATTAATAAAATCGTAAAAATGTGATGAATATCACAACTCTTTACAAAGAAAATAAGTCGAAAATCGTTACTGTAGGGTGCTGAGAAGATTTAGCCAATTTCCGAGGGCCTTTTTAAAAAAAAAATCAATAAATCTCGAAAAATAATTAATAATTTAGTTATAGAAGAGAAAAGAGAAGATTTTTTAACGGTTTGTTCTATATATCTCGAAAAGTAACAATGCAGTCGATACTTTTTTTTAAAACCTACAACTTTCTCATTTAATATTTTTCGATCCGAGCTATAGTTTTTTAATTATTTAAGAAAAACCGTTTTTTGCAACTCTGCGAAGTTTATGGCCTTATTCGTATTTTGGATCGAGTTTAAAGAAAAACAAACTCACTTTAAAACTTAATTTCGTATACGGACATTTTTTTCTAGGTAATAATTTCTGTAAGCACATCTCTGTATTGATAGGACTATAGCTCAAAAAAAGATTAATCAAACTAAGAGTTGATAAAAAGTATAGTTTTTTCCTCTGGATTTTTTATGATTTCTTACCACCTTGGTCACCGATACAAATTTTTGACATTCAGATCCTGAAAATACAAATTTCAAGCTCCAATTTGCTTGTTTTAGGTATTGCATTTTGAAAACCAAAAATTTAGGATTTTCTTTTATCCTTTAATTTGTGTTACTACTACTGTTATTTACATCATTCAAAAAGATAGTGGTGTGAGAAACATAAAACAAGTTCTGTATCTTCCTAGTAATTATTTCTTTGGTGTTTATTTGATATCAAGTAACGAGTTAGCGTAAAACTGAAATATATTTATTTAAAATCTTGTTAAAATCCAACATATATCTGGCGTTGAAAAAATATTCTCCACCACCAGAGGTACTTTGGTATTCCAGGAATTTTACAGATTACTGCTTACTGAATTTTATCACAACTAAAATATTTATACTACAGTTTTAGTTTGTTTACTGTTCAAATAGTTGTATTTTTTCACGCTACAGTTAAACGTATTTTCCAAGTACAATTTTCGCTGCTTGAAAGTGTGACTCGATATTTTTTTTAAAGTGTAAACCTCATTTTATTTATTTATTAAAATCAACACCTTCGCAGCAAAATATTTACATAAACTAATAATAAAAATGCAATATTAACCAACAAAAACGTATTTAATGGGAAGGACACATAGTCGAGTATCACGTAGACAACATTTTCTTATAACAATGGAACCGTGACACCACTGACATTGACTGAATAATTAAAATTAATTTTTATATTTCAAAAGTTTGATTTCGAGCATGGCAATGAAACGGTATTCGACCTTGTGCTTAATGTGCCACAAATGACTTACCTAGACGCTCAATACACTCAGAGCGAAATGAATTAATGTGTCCTTACATTTTTAGCATAAATCAATGACCGAAGTAATCAGCAAAGTGGCAGAAGTGAGGAAAATATATAGTGACTTAAAATTTTCGACAGAGGTATGTTAGTTTTTCCCTGGCAGAAGTGCTTGGAAAATATATACGCCAGGAAATATAGAGTTGAAAGCGACTTTTTGTTTCGGCAAGCTGAATTTATCATTATAGATGCTAAATATTATGTATCATAACATATTAGTTTCCGCAGTCATAAAAATGGTGGGAAGATTGTTTACAGGCTGGTTAATTGTATAATTTTTACGTGAATTCATGTTTTTCGCTTATAACTTTTTTTCCGTTCATTTCCACGAGAAAACAGTAAAGTACTTTTTTTCGTCTTCAAAAGGCCTACAAAAGTAGCCTTCGAGCGCCAAAAAATATTTATTAGATCAAAAGTTATAAACAGATGAAGTTTATTTATGACTTTTGAATTAAACATTTATAAACTGTAATAATAACGCAGTTTATAAATGTTTAATTCAAAAGTCATAAATAAACTTCATCTGTTTATAACTTTTGATCTAATAAATATTTTTTGGCGCTCGAAGGAAGGCTTCTTTTGTAGACCTTTTGAAGACGAAAAAAAAAGTATTTTACCGTTTTCTCGTGGAAATGAACAGAAAAAAGTTATAAGCAAAAAACGTGAACTTACGTAAAAAGTATACAATTAACCACCCTGTAAACAATCTTCCCCCCCATTTTTATGACTGAAAACTAATATGTTATTGTACATAATATTTAGCATCTATATCAAGGGTCGGCAACTGGCGGACCGCGGTCCAGGTCCGGACCGCGGAAAGTAAAATACTGGACCGCCAAAAATTGTTTGAAAGTATAAATTACTCAAATAAATTATTTAAAAAATCTTTTTTACGTTTAAGTGCCAATGTTATCATTTTTTCTAGTATTTTACAATTGTGTGAGTGTTTTGAGTTCTTAATGGTTAGTAAGCAGATTAAATTTGAGTCCAAATTAAAATAAAAAATAAGAAATATGAATTTTTTTCTGGACCTCGTTAAAAATTTTCAAAAGTATCCGGACCCCACCTAAAATTACTTGCCGACCCCTGATCTTTATAGTCTGTTTGGAAATGAAAGAGTAATAAAACCCCGAGATAAGAACCGGCCATGGGCGTGGTAATATTTCGTTTCAGGTAATTATCGGGTAACACTAATGCTAACAGGTAATGGGTGTACATTAGTATATTTTACTGGATACATCATAGGGCAGGGGCCGATGTATTGTGACAGATCAATCCAGTCTTAGAGCTGAATATACGAAGAAGTGCTAGTGCAGTAGAGTAAAATTACGTACCTGCTAAACGCGTGAAAAGATGTGCGCTGTCTCGGAATGAGAAGATTATTATATTAAATGTATTTAATGCATTGAAACACCAAAATCCTACCAACAGTGTTGACGACATCGTGGAAAAGTGTTCCAAAATGAGAGGGATTGGAAAATCGACTATCTAGACTTTTAAAGAAAACAAAAAATGAACAAGATAATGCAAATCCCCCAAAATCATCTACAGGGAGGTCAAAAGTCGTTATAGATGATTTCTTCAAAAATGTCATTCGCAGAAAAGTACACTCATTTTATTTTAAAAAAGGAATACCAACGCTAAACAAAATTTTAAGTGAACTTTCAGAGGACAACGATTTGCCGAAAATTAGTAGAAGCAAATTATGGGCCGTCTTACGAGAGTTGAATTTTTGCTGGGAAAAGCAGAACAGGAAGTCAGTACTTATCGATAAAGATGAAATTATTTGTTGGCGAAGATCATACTTAAGATCAATTAGAAAATTCCGTGACGAAGGGAGGAATATTTATTATCTAGACCAGGGGTCGGCAAGTAATTTTAGGTGGGGTCCGGATACTTTTGAAAATTTTTAACTAGAAAAAATGATAAGATTGGCACTTAAACGTAAAAAACATTTTTTAAATAATTTATTTGAGTAATTTATACTTTAAAAAAATTTTTGGCGGTCCAGTATTTTACCTTCCGCGGTCCGGACCTGGACCGCGGTCCGCCAGTTGCCGACCCTTGATCTAGACGAAACTTGGGTCAACGAGGGATATACTGTAACAAAAGTATGGCAAGATAAAAATGTAAAGTTTTCGACAAGCATTTTTGGATGGACTTTCAACAGGGTTCAAGGCACCTTCAGGTAAAGAGCGAAGATTAATAGTGACACATATAGGTAGTGCCAGTGGTTTTGTAGATGGCGGTTTACTTTTATTTGAATCTAAAAATACAGGTGACTATCACGAAGACATGAACGCAGATGTTTTCGAAGAGTATTTTACACAGATGTTGGATCTTATTCCTCCGGGGTCTGTAATTGTCATGGATAATGCCAGTTACCATTCACGGCAGACCGAGCGGACGCCTACGACTGCTTGGAGGAAAGCCGATATAATTCAATGGTTATCCGGAAAAACATTTCTTTTGAAACAAATATGGTGAAAAAGGAACTTTTGACACTTGTCAATCTTAATAAAGATCAGAAAAAATATGTTATCGATGAAATGGCAACAAATCGCCAAATAACGGTACTACGGTTACCACCTTATCACTGTGAACTTAACCCAATCGAATTAGTCTGGGCGCAGGTAAAAGGAGATGTAGCGCGAAATAATACGACGTTTAAATTAAGTGACGTGAAAATTTTGTTAAAAAATTCCTTGGAACGAGTAACTGCAGATAACTGGCAAAGATGTATACATCATGTACAAAAAGAAGAGGAAAAAATGTGGGAACTCGATAATTTAATTGACGTTACTGTGGAACCTATCGTTATCAATCTAGGAGACGAAGATAATTCATCAGAATATTCAGAGGATGAATTTTAATATACCTACTTTTTTATTTTCTTTATTGTACATTTATACAACACTACATTTACTCACCATTTGAATTTTCAAAATACATATATTTTTGTGTGGAATAAAAGTCTATTCATTAAATTTAAATAAATATTTTGATAATAATATTGAATAATTTTATTTGAATTACTAAAAACCCTCTTAACCCGGTTATGATGCTTAAAGTAGCCTCATGTTTTGAAATGCTGTTTTTATATTGTTTACTTATAAGAGAAATGGACCGAGAAATTGAAGCGGCATAGACAAAGACGGATTGTCGGGGATTAAATTTTAGCTACCTGCTACAATTTAGTACAACCCGGTCACACAAAGTTTTTTTTAAAAGTACACCTCATTATATACGGATAATACATAATATAAAAATATTGAATATAAGCACCAGTACTACATTTATTTACGATTTGCATACATAATAAGCTTTTATTACTCTCTTTCATTTCTAAACAGAGTATAGTGATAAATTCAGCTTGCCGAAACAAATAGTCGCAAAATAGTCATTTCCCAGTTCTTTTTCCTGGCCTATATACCGCTCGATGAGTTTCCGGTTATGAAATCAAAAGACGTCGCTATCGCCGCGTGGGTCGCGCGCCACATCGTGTCGTCGAATAAATAATAATTACTTATCCATTCACATTAGTCGCTAATGGCGGGATTACGGTCATAAATCATACTTGCCTGAGGTCTATAGGAGTTCGGTAAGATCGGGTGTCCGCCATTCTCATCCATTGGTGCCTGCAACAAATACAAACGAGATAAGCAACAGTTCTGGTGGAAACTTAGACAATAATTATTGTACTCGACCGGATGACGAATGCATCGCGTATCAGGTAATATATAGCGACGGAATACAACTTACAATAATATTTGCTCGAGTTACATGTTTTAGAAATCGGAATATGCGCTGAACACAATGCCCATTGTTGTAGGGCGTTGAATGAAGTGCAAATAGCTACCACCTACGGACTCAAGTCGAGACTTTTGGCAACAGCAGCGCATTGAGAAATATTTTTAAAAGCCGTGGAAATGTTGAATTCTAAAGAAAAGCGTTTTACTTGACTGGCAACCGAGTAGTCTCGTTTAGGAAAAAGCACTGAAATAAATCAGTGAAATATATTTTATCTGCTCCCACTATAGTAATTTTATACGATTGAATTCTTAATTTTACTATAAATTATAATAAATCTACTTTTTATTTTGTGTATATAAAAGAATAAAACATTTTATATATATACTGGCTTAATAGTTTTCACTTTGTTAAAAGAACTTACAACTCTCTTTTTGATTTTTGAATTAAAATGTTTTAGACAACACTACCTCAAACAGAATCATCAATACTTGCAAGACGGCAAAGGCACGCAGTGTATCATTCATACACCTAGGACTTTGTCAAGATTCCACAGTACAACTACCATTCATACCATACGTGACACTCCATGCCAAAAACAATGGTTATCTCCATTTGTAAACCCCAGTATAAACAAGACTTCCAGTTCCTATACGTGAGCAACTCGAAAAACTCTTCTGTGTATGTGTAATGTTATTATCAATGTATGTATATCGAATCCGCTCTGAACCTGAACCGGTGATTAAGAAGACACTCACGGGTCACGTTCATATAAATATACGATGTAGTAACTATCTCCTTAAGCAAAGGTGAACCTCTACTTACAAGGTTCCAACTATTTGCGTAATAGCTGGAGCAAATTCTCCCTCAACACTGATCTTTGACACCACAAGCACACGAAATGTAAAGTGCATTCATAAATTTAAGAGAGCGGCTACGTGACAGATAAATATACAGTATGTCCGCGGTTGTAGTGAGTAAAAGGAAATGGTTTTTTATATAAGGTGTCCAGAATATTATTAAAAATATGAAAATGTCATAAACTGACTTTATTTTTACTCTTTGGAAAAAGTGTTACTAAGAAAAGTTGTTCGAGAAATGTAAGAGAATTCCCATTTGTGGCAAAATTGGCCCACGTAGGCCGACAAGATTTTAACCCAACAAATAAACTTTCCCAAAGGATTTTCGTGCGCTGAATTCGAATCCAAAGATTCAAATTTCTCAATTGGCTCTGGTTTTCGAGATACCCTAACCTAAAAGTGCCAATATCGCGATTTTTTACATAAATGAGGTTATGTTCCACGGTTTGTGCTGAAAGCATTAATGGAGTCTTAAAGTACTACACTTACTCTTTAAAACGTACCTGGAATTATCCCGATATCATATACTGTATATGTATTTGAAAAATTGTTAACATATTTATTTAGCCATACCCATATACAGGACTGATCGCCCAGTTGAAGAAAGAGCGCGTGTGCAAAGGCAGCACAAACACAGCCGCGCTGGGCGATCTGGCCATAAATTCAGTCGTCAACAAATGGCCTAGCACTTCATAATCATGATTAAAATGGAAAAATTTTTTGAGGGTCTCTCACATTTTTACCGCAAAAAACGTTTAAATTGATGAAAAAAAATATTTAGAAAGAATATTTATTTAATTTTTTTTTGGAAAACCTTCCGGACACTGAAGAAAACAAAATCCAATTGTTTCAAGCACGATTAAGCTTTTCCGTCGTATGTTTTTAATTTAAAGTTGGTGACCCAAACCAGATTTCGATTTCATATTGCTTTTTGAGATAAATTTCTAATTAATTTTTGTGCAGTCTATACAAACTAGCTTAAAAACAGTTTTTTTCAAAACAACCCCGTTTTTTCTCAGAAAAAAAATTTCTAAAATTTTTTGAGGTTTTCTCATATTTTTACCGCAAATATTTAACGTTTAAATTTTCGAAAAATTTCTTTTTTTCATCGATTTATCCGTTATTTGCGGTAAAAATGTGAAAAAAACCTCAAAAAAAATTTTTTTACAGTGTCAAAGGTCACGGAAAAATTTCGAAAATTCTTTTGACCCTTTAATTTTTTGCATTAGTTTACAATAGAAATTAAAATACTATATACAAATTATTATAATTTTTTACCTTTAGCAGAAAACTTTATTAGAGACGCCTATGAAACTCATTAAATTTTATTGCTAGGCGTTTTTATACCTGTTCAACTGACTTCGGAACGACTATACCTAGTTTACTCTTATGACATTTCTATATTTATGAAATGTACATGAAATTTTAACTTTTTCCATGACAATCCCATTTTAAATACAAGCAAAACTTTTTTATCAAGTGTAATTTGTTACGTAAAATATAAAATAAAGTTTTTAATATAAAGAACTACTGAGACTGTCGTAAATAAATTAATTCACAATATTCCAAAAGTTCCTGACTTAGGTTGTTTAATTACGCATTGTATATTTTTCCTATCTGACACCTGGTTATCTTCACCTAATTGCATTCCTGAGATGCCTTATTTTTCTGCCTTTGATGTAATAAACGGAACCTCCTGCAGAACAATATGTTTATTCTACAACCCGTTGAGAGCTTTACTAATTTTAAGTGAAAATACAAAGTGAAAATACGAATAAATCGATTATTTTTTTAATAAAAAAATAATAATTTCAGATTAGCGGACTAACTATTACTTCTAAAAATTGACCCCCACTTAAAGCTACATCCTGTACAAGGAATCTATATTTCTAATCAAGACGGAACGGACATAGGAAATGCTATTAGTTAATTGGAAATGCAAGTATAGCTTGTTACTTAATGCTGCATCAACTTTTTTATTGGAAAGGCATGTTTAGTATTATGTACATAAAAAGGTTAGTCATAATTAATTGGCAATTAGATAGAAATTTACAACTAATTGCACATAACATTATTTTTATATTTAGGTACCTACATCCTTGTCATATCGCTTTTCACTACGTTAGATTAATTTGAAGAATAAAAAAACATGGAAATAATATAGATAATTTTACATTACGATATAGAAAGGGAATAATTATATTAAATCATTTCTACGAAAATTAAGTTGCACAGATAGAAAATTCTGAGAAAGATTCTTTAACCAAATTATGAAAAATATTTGTATATACATAATCTAAAATACGTAAAAGTTCTTTGCAAAAAGAGCAGTGCATGCTTTGTGCCATGTATTCTATGTCGATCAGTCGATAACCTCGAACGGTGTGCTGAGGTTCTGGCTCCACAATCTTCTTTTCAACAGCTTTCTTCCCCTTTTTGCTATTTTCTGTTCTAATCCTCAAGCACTCATACTTTCTTTTGGTCACAAAGTATCCTTTCTATCGACTATGTTCTTCTCAGCATACTCGTGCGCTGTTGCCTCTGGTGCGACTCGTGGCATTTATTTACGCATATTGGATAAAAAAATACAAGAATTAAATAAAATAATAAAACTTTATCACACTGTACATCAAAAACAATGCGGTTGTGGTTCGACGTGTAACCGCAACACGTTATAGAAACCTATACTAGAAAATGTATAACTTTCTGATCTTATAATATGGCAAATATCTTATTATGTAACGATACACACAATCCTTCAAAATATGTATCTGCTAATGACTTACAACGACCCAAAGGCTAAAGAAAAGATACGCTACTCCATTAATTACAGGTTCTTAAGTTTCACGTTGCGTGTACGCATACCAACCTAAGACACTGACTTTCAACTACAGAATAAATATTTTTGCCACACCACCGCGAGCTCCAAAAGAATAATTAATTATTCCGTCTCGATTTAAGAGCCGACTTGACCTTAATTCCGATTGTGAGAAATGCTTTTGTTTACAACAGTACAATCGAGGAAACAAAGCAGGTGATTCTGAGATTTAAAAAGGCGTAGCTTTCCTTGTAAACAAGCGGGTGTAAAGATATTAATGTAGACAATAAGAACACCTACGTACTGCCAGACTTCAGTGGCGGCGTTTTGGGAGATTAGTACATTATATTAGAGCGAAACATCAATATAAGAGATATCTGAGTATTTGCGCGAGTGTGCTTTTCATTCCAAGTGCGATAAGCGGCGTTTTGTCTAGCAGCTGCAGTTTTTTAACGAAAAGCAAACTTGAAGAGATATTTTGAAGAGTCAAGTAGTTATTTTCTTAAGAGATTGTGGCGTATTACTCCTCTGAAGCGTTTTGGAGGTTTGAAAAGCAACAGAAAATCAAGATTGGGAAGAAAATTTTAAATGACAATGCTGACGCTCTCTACTGTTGCTTGGTTTACGGTTACTGCTGCAGCTACCTCTTCTAATATTTGTTTAACAGTTATAGTAGCAAATATTAATAATAAGAGTTGGCAGCAGACTGGCTCATTTGTTATAGTATCACGTTGGTGGGGCGCTGGATGAGCGAGAGAGGATTATGAAAATTCATTACAAGTACGAATAGTGTGTTGCTGAGACTGTGCGCATATGAAATCCTGCGATTCTTTTGTTACGCCCCCCTAGTTTTGGTGATGGAATCCAATTTCACAATGCAACTTTCCATTTTAATGCTGGGTAATTTCACTTTAAGTACAGAAACTGCAGGAATAGATTACCTGCCAAAAAAATAAGTAGAGTTTGGTCTATACACTTTTTTCCTGGGGGACATGCGAGATACAAGTTCCAAAAAGAATTATATTTTCTGTCATATCTTCATATTGCGCTGAAAGATTTGAATTAAATTTATTACAGCGTATTCACTTAATTATATCTTTTATTGAATGTAATATTAACCTCGTGACATTAACCAGTGGCGTGCTATTGAAGGTGTCGCTGCGTTTTCCCAAGAAAAAAATACGCCACTGGCGGTTTTTGTAGAAATAAT